AGTAGGGTAGGTAGTAGTAGGGTAGGTAGTAGTAGGGTAGGTAGTAGGTAGTAGGTAGCAGGTAGTAGGTAGTAGTAGGTAGTAGGTAGTAGATGGCCAGGGACACAGGATCAGATTAATAGGGGGTAGTAGTGCAGATTATTGATGGGGGACCGGCCCTTGTGAGGGGTACCCTTTGTGAGCTTGTCAAATGATTGTTTTTAATTGTTTTTTAATAAGGCAATTTATAGGCCCTGAGCCCTAGACATTTTATAAAGGATTTCATCAAACAGCAGCAGCAGCAGCAGCAATAGCTACAGCAGTAGCTAGTAGCAGTAGCAGTAGCAGCAGCAGCAGTAGTAGTAGTAGCAGTAGTAGTAGTAGCAGCAGCAGCAGTAGTAGCAGCAGTAGCAAGTATAATGTCAAGTCAGGATAAATGGACCTCCACTAGTTAACCCCTTATTAAAAGTAATATTATTTTTTTTGGATCGTGTAGGCTCGGATTAACTGGGGGGGTTGTTGGTAGAAAATTAGACAATAGGGGGGGGAAATCAACAGCGAATAATACTTTTAATTTGGGCAATTTCCGGCGGCTTTGTGGGCTCGGATTAACTAGGGGAGGTTTATTAATCCTAACTTTGCATTAACATTTGTACTTTAATCTCCCGACTGCCGCATTGTTTCTGAGTGTCGCATTGGGGGGTATTGACCATTTCAGGCAGCTATTGCAGCACTGGGAAACTTGTGACTCCACTTTGCGAAACGGCACCTGGTTCAGATCTGAACCAGGCCGGAGGCAACACACATGTTATGCGGCATGTGGCTGAAATCGAGATCTTCAGCTTTCAGCACCAACCCCCACAGAAGGAGCACATGTTCAAAGACCTTGACAGCACATCGCTTGGGACAAACAAATTTCAAGCAGTTCAACGTAGGTTTACGATTGGAAATTTATATAGAATGTTTGAGAGCTGGTAAAATAAAAGAGTGTTGACAAGGGAGTCAAGGGAAAGTTTTTGACACCAAGGAGAAGGTTGAGCATTACACATCCCACTTATACTTAACACAGCTTTGACGCCGCAGGAGGTGCACACACGAGATTTCAATCCACGGTTCAGTTCGGAGTTTGCCTTGGGCACGCAGTCGGGTCACTTTGAAGAAAGTTGGAAACATTGTGTTTGCCTGTACGAAGGTCACAGGAAGTTTGCCGAAGTTAGGCAGAGACAAGGAAGGGTCAGAAAGTACCGTAACATAATTTTTGATACCTAGCTGACATGTTTGTTTTGCAACGTTACAAGA